AGTATTACTACTGAAACCGTGAACCTCATGGATGAATGGACTCACACCTCAGTTTTCTCTCCTGTAGAATGGACACAGTAATACTGACTTATCGTCTTTTGCAAAGGGTATTTTCATGTATTAATTCCAGTGCTCCTAGGGACCTGTGAGACTCCCCACACCCGGGCTTGTTTTCCCTCACAGTGGAATGGTGACCACCCCAGCCCCTTGGTACTCTCTCCCTGTCTCCCCATTCCACCCAACCGGGGCGGGGTTCAGCAACATTCCCTCTGGAACATATGAAAGCCAAACTTCCCAGAGTTTCCAATCACTGCTCTTGGATTCACAGGGAGGACCCACCTCTTCCCAGGAATTCTGGCAGGGCTGCTCAGGGACCGTGACAGAGATGGAGCCTGGCTGTGAGCCCGAGATGGCGTGGATGGGATGGGGGTGGAGCCCGCCGGCTGGGTCCCAGGACAGAGCAGCGCATGTGACAGACAGAGGGATAGAGGAGGGGTGTTCTAGAGCGTGAGGTGCAGGATCTGCTGGGGGGACCAGGGAGACGCCGGTTGGGGTCCCTGCCCTGCAGTAGGACACTCTGCTACTGTTGTCACAAGCAATACAAGTCTCACCCGCAGCTGAAACAATGGCCACAAAGGCTGCAGCTTCCAGTCCTGAGGGCCACCCCTGGGAACTGGAACTGTTTGCTTCCTCAGGCGCAGCCTCGATTTTCATGGGAGAAAAGCCAGCAGGCTTTTTTCGATTCTCCAGATGCCAGCTCCTCTGTTACCTCCGTCTTCCTCCAGGTCTGGTCTCTTCTCATCGGGGAACAGGCACCGGAACACACACACACAGAAACACACACACACACAGAAACGCGCGCGCGCGCACACACACACACACACACACACACACACACACCTGCACGCCCTCTCCCAGGTCTTACCTGCTCTGTCACTCTGGCCACCACATGTGGAGAGAGTGCATTCCACTTTGGGTGTGGAGTGCAGACACAAAAGAGACATGTTCACCTTCCCTACTTAAAAAGAGACACTGACTGTGGAAATTCTCAAAGGAAGAGCAGTAAGGCCCTTATGCCTCAGGCTGGTTCAGGGCACAGTCTCTGGGCAACCCCAGCCCGAGGCTGAGCGCTCTGAGGGGCAGCTCCTAGAGCTTCCGGGTCCTCACTCTACAAACTAGAAGGGATCCTGGGCGCTTGTGATGCCAGGACAACTTGCCGCTTCACAGAGGAGGGACAGGGCCCAGAGAGGAGTCACCTCTGGCCACATGGCTCATCCCATGGAGCCTGTCTGGGGCACAGTCTGGGGGTTGGGATGTAGGGTAGCCGAAGCTCTAGGGAGGGATGCGTTTCCAGGAATGTGTGTCAGCCTCCAGAGCTTGTTACCTGAGAAGAACCAGCAGGAGAAGTCAGCAAGCTCCAAGGCCCACCTCTGCTCACCACAAGGTGGCAACAGTGCTTTGTAGGAACCCCAGCTTGAGGGGTGGTGTCCAGCGCTAAGGACCAGACCTCACCTCCAGAGCCCTGATGGTCTGGTATTCCTTTAATGTCTTCAGGTGAGGCTGAGACTTCGTTTCATGTAGGCCTGGGTGTGCCTCTCTTTCCTGTCCAATTGCCTTAACTCGGTCTGACTTGCACCTGCTGACCAGTTCTGATTTTTCCCCACCTCCCTTCAGCTCTTCCATAAGCTCTGTGGGAGTGTGGAGGACAGGAGGACACAGTTCTCGGGACTCTAAAAAGGCCAGTGGGAAGATGAACCAGAGATCAAAACCCCATTAGACAATAGATGAATGCATGTAAGTTAGTGCCCTGTGCAGTGCTGAAGTTACATTTTTCATTTTAGGAGAGGAGTTGAAAGTAGCTTTTCCACCTGGAAACAATATTACTTGACTCGTGAACCTTCTCTACAACAGCACCCTTTTGCTCCTGTCCTTTTTTTTTCTTTTACTAGTTATTAGTTAATTTAAAAAATTTTTATGTTATATTGGAGTATAGTTGATTAACAATGTTGTGTTAGTTTCAGGTGTACAGCAAAGTGATTCAGTTATACGTACACATATATCTATTCTTTTTCATATTCTTTTCCCATTTAAGTTATTGCAGTGTTGAGCAGAGTTCCCTGTGCTATACAGTAGGTCCTTGTTGGTTATCTGTTGTTGTTTTTATATTTTTTGCGGTACGCGGGCCTCTCACTGTTGTGGCCTCTCCCGTTGCGGAGCACAGGCTCCGGACGCGCAGGCTCAGCGGCCATGGCTCACGGGCCCAGCCGCTCCGCGGCATGCGGGATCCTCCCAGACCGGGGCACGAACCCGTGTCTCCTGCACCGGCAGGCGGACTCCCAACCACTGCGTCACCAGGGAAGCCCTGGTTATCTGTTTTAAATATAGCAGCGTGTTTATGTCAGTCCCAAACTCCCAATCTATCCCTCCCTCTCACCCTTCCCCCTGGGACTATAAGTCTGTTTTCTAAGCCTGTGAGTCTGTTTCTGTTTTGTAAATAAGTTCATTTTTATCATTTTTGAGAGATTCTGCATATAAGGGATGTCATATGATACCTTGTCTTTCATGAATGTGTTGACTGCATGAATGAATGGTGTGAGTAAACCAATGAATGAAGAAATGGAAGTTGGGTGAGGAGAGGCAAACCCCTCACTGCACGCCTCTGGCTGGCCCAACCGTGTGTGTCCAGGACACAGCTGTTCACAGATGCCCAAGAAGTCAACCCTGCAACTTGGGAAACAGCCATGAGGAAGCCTTAACATGTCCTCTGCTTTGTGCTATCTGTGCCCTGTTGGGGGTCCTGGTGAAAGATGGGCTGTCTTAATGTAAAAATGAACATCTCTACCCGTCAGAGCCATGGCTCGGGACCCTCTGCTTGCTGCCCAAAAGAAAGACTTTGCAGACAACTCTGGTCAAGGGCAAATAGTAAACATATTTTTTGTTGATTAACTACAAAAGCAATGCATATGTGTATATATATATATATATATATATATATATATATATATCTCCAGTCTTCCTTATTCACCAGTTCCATTATGTGGATTTTTCTACTCACTAAAATTTATTTGTGACCCACAAATCAATAGACATGGTGCTTTCGCAGCCATTTGTGGACATGGGTAGAGGGACAAAAGATTTGAGCCACCCATGAGCACAGCCCCAGCTGAGGTCAAACAAAGTGGTGCTGTTTCAGCTCTCACACTGTCAACAAGGATCCTTTCCCCCATCTCGCGAGTGCCACGTTTTTTGCATCTTTGTGCTTTTTGTTGGTGATTTTGTTGTTTAAAGTGGCCCCCAAGTGTAGTGCTGAAAAATCTGTCTAGTGTTGCTAAATCAAAGAAGGCTGTGATGTGCCTTACAGAAAAAAATACATGTGTCAGGTAAGCTTCATTCAGGTCTGAGTTACAGAGCTGTTGGCTGTGAGTTTAGTGTTAATGGATCAACAAAATATGTTAAATCAGGTGTCTTTATGCAGAGTCACACATAAAACAAGGTTATGGATTGATTGGCTAATGAAAATATTTTGACCAGAGACTCCCAGGAACCTGACCTCATATTTCCCCTAGAAGCAACGGCTCAGTGTTCTGTATTTCAGTGTTTTCATTGACTTTATAGAACATAACTACTGCAAATAACAAGAATTGACTGGAGATATATATATATACTTTTTCAGTATAAAATTGCAAGACTATAAATACATATATAAATATAAAGTAATAAAACATGTAATCTCCCTTTATCCATTTTCCTTCTCTAATCCTGGTCCTCTTTCATAAGGAACCATGTAGGGTGGGTCCTCCCATACCTTATTGTATTAATTTACATTCTTAAATACATATATGTATATATATAATTTTTATGAGCATATTTTATGAAGGGAATTTTATACATATACAATATGTGATTTGCCCTTTATCACTTAGATTAGGGTCAGCAATTTCTCTTCTGTAAAAGGCCAGATAATAAATATTTTTGGCTTTGGGAACCATATGGTCCCTGTCACCTGTACTCAATTCTGCCACCACATCAAGAAGTCAGCCTAGGGACTTCCCTGGTGGTGCAGTGGTTAAAAATCCACCTGCCAATGCAGGGGTCACAGGTTTGATCCCTGGTCTGGGAAGATCCCATGTGCCGCGGAGCAACTAAGCCCGTTCACCACAACTACTGAGCCTGCGCTCTAGAGCCCACAAGCCACAACTACCGAGCCCGCATGCCACAACTACTGTAGCCCATGCACCAAGGGCCTGTGCTCTGCATCAAGAGAAGCCATGGCAGTGAGAAGCCCACGCACCGCAACAAAGAGTAGCCCCCGTTCGCCACAGCTAGAGGAAGCCAGTGTGCAGTAACAAAGACCTAACGCAGCGAAAAATAAATAAATATATAAATTTATTAAAAAAAAAACAGCCATAGACAATATGTAAATGAATGGGCATGGCTATGTTCCAATAAAACTTTATTTATGGAAACTGAAGTTTGAATTTCATGTAATTTTCAATATTGCAAAATACTACTCTTCTTTTGATTGCATTTCAGCCATATAAAAATGTAAAAATGATTCTTAGCTCATACAGTACATTCACAGACAGGGGTTGGATTTGGCTTATGGCACTTAGTTTACCGACCCCTGACGTAGATTATATGTTGGAGACCTCTTCCTGTTAATACATGGAGATCTACCTCATTGTTTTAATGGCTACCCAGTATTCCATTGTATGAATTTACCTCAATTTATTTTTTTAAAATAGTTTTTAGTTTTTATTTTTCCCATCACCATGTATTTTATTTATATCAGCTAGATATTTACAGATATTTGCTGATACAAAATAACAAGGACCAGGCAGACTGAAAGTGGAGGCAATGCCACCCTCACTGCAAAACCCTCCAGCTCCTTGAGCTATGTGTACTTTCCCAAACGCTTTCTCAAAGGCTTTAAATAGTTGAAAATATTTCCACGTGAGAACGACTCCACGGCACTGTATGCACCAGGACCGGACGGGGGCTCAGTATCTGTACTTGGTGGAGTAGTCCTTCGGGGACACGACCAGGCCGCGGCCTTTCCGGGCCCCCCGGTACACCGTCTCGATGATGTCGATCATCTCCTGCTTGTCTTCCATGGCCCAGTTGATCTTGTTGTTGCCAGTACCCAGCTCGATCACGATGTGCTTGTTCCTGAAGAAAAACATGACAGTGCACGGATCGTATAACTCATACATTTTGTTGAAGTCAGGTACTTCTGTAATATCCACAAGATAAATAACTGCGAAATTTTTAACTTTTAAAACAGCTGGGGTATCCAAACAGGGCTGGCAGCAGGATGAGGAAGATCCCCCATTATCTGCCGTTTCTTTCCAGCTATGCTGTACAGAACCTCGTCCATCTTCATACAAGTAGGGTCCCAGTCGTGTCCCAACCGAATGACGACCACGCGGTCTTCTTCCGAGAGGATGGCCTGATCCACTTGCCAGCCGTTGTGCAGGTGCGGGAGTATGTACGACATCTTGGGGCCGACAGTTCTGCGGGAGGGAACCACCGGCCAGCTCCTCCTAGCTCCAGCGCGGGGCACCCACGGGGCACGCACCCCACGGGGCCTCACCCCGCAGGGCAGTCGGTGCGCTGCCGGGAAGGCCAGGCCCGCGTCCACCTCGTCCCCAGACCCCGACCCCACCAACAGATCGTCTCCGCCCCGCGGCCCAGATCCCAGGGCTAAGGGACCCTTGGGGTCGTACACCCACGCCTCCCTTGCCACCCCCTTCCTCCCCCGGCCCGGCACCTGAATTTACCTCAATTTATATAGCTATTTCGTTATCGATGGACATGCAGATTATTCCCAATATTTCACTATAGCAGAATATCCTGTTCATACATCTTGAGGCATATGTATTTCTATGGAGTGGGATTCTAGAATTGGAACTCCCAGTCCGTCCCTCCCCCATGCGCCTCCCCCTTGGCAACCACAAGTCTCTTCTCTATGTCTGTGAGTCTGTTTCTGTTTCGTAGATAAGCTTATTTGTCACCCTAATTTTAAGCAGGCGAGTGATATGGTCAGATTTGCTTTTTTGGTATAACTTTTTGTTGTGAGAATAATTTTAGATTCAGAGAAAAGTTGCAAAGAGAGTACAGAGTTCTGTTTACCCATCCCCCCAGTTCCTCCTATTGCTAACGTCCTAGATACATTTGTCAACACTAGGAGATTCACATCGATACACTACTATTAACTAAATTTCAGGCTCTGTTCAGATTTCCCCAGTTTTTCTACCGATGCTCTTCTGTTCCAGGGCCCCATCCAGGATCCCACATTTAGAAGTTCTGTTTTTAGGAAGATAAACAGTAGCCATGGTCTGCAGAGTGGACTGGAGAGGCTGGTGTCTGGGGGCCAGGGGACTTGGGACGAAGTTGATCAGGAGCCTGGTGGGAGGGTTTGAGGTCAGTCATTCCAGCTGGTGCAGAAGGGGAGCAGGGAGGGGCGATACAGACCCTAGAAGGTTAGGAGGTAGACCTGATGGGACTCAGTCGGTCTAATAAGTGAAGCTGAAATGTCACCATGTGTTGCTTGCTGCTACACCTCATCCAGTCATCCAAGCGGTAGATGATTATTGAGCCCCTACCAGGTGGCGGGCACTGATGTTCTCTGGACCCCAGACTCTGGGTTCCACCTGCCACTCTCGTACATCTCCATCTTTAGCCTGGTTTTCCCATTTCACTGCCTGGGAGTATGCTAAAACCAAACTCCACTCCTTAAAAGAAGTCCAACACCAAAAGAATTTTCACAGCCTGTCCTTACTGCTGCCAAGAATATATATTACGAATTTCCAGTGGAAGCTCAAATGTCCCTTTGTAATAACCTGGCCTCCAGGCACTAAGTTTGAGAGGTCACCACAAGTTGGGACTACACCTGGAGGACCGAGGGCCATGGTGCCCAGCGACAGCTGGGGAGGGTAGGCAGGTACCAGGCGGTGATGGACCCTGAGACCCAGGGGGTCCTGGATGCTCACTCCCTTGGGTTGCAGCCCGGGATTAAGAAAAAAATCCAGAGAAATCCTGGTTGGCATGTTTCTAGCCCAGATGGAAGAGAAATAGGACAAACTGCTGAAAGGTTCCAAAACCAACACATGAGAAGTGACTGCTGCCAGCAAATTCGAGGTATGTTGGCATGTGCAGCAGAAGAGAAATGTATTCACCCCGATGGAAAGGGGAAGACAAGAAGACGGACGGCTGCTGAGAGAAGGTGGGGTGCTCCTTGCCAACTGCCAAACGCCAGCTCTGGGAAGAACGACTGCTTCCAAACGACCGCGCGGGACTGGGGCGAGCCAGGAGGAAGGGGCGCAGACAGCCAGGCGACAGGCATCTTGAGTGTGGGGCTCGTGGCTTGTCAGCCCCACTCCATTCGTCTGTGCCCTCAGCCACTCGGCCTGCCTTTCCGCACCAGCTCAGGAGGCGTTCTGTCCTCGCATTATTTCTGGCCCGGCCCCTCCCTCAAAAGGGCTCCCTCTCTTCCATCCTCTCCTGACTCACACTCTACCCATCTTTGCGGGCATTTGTTGCCGGGGGCACGTCTCTGCACACCGTCCCTACGTTTGGGGTATCTCCCACATTACAAATCCTGCGTTATCAAGGGAGAAGCTAGAAAACATCTCTAGACCTCTGTGCCTTGAATTGTACCTGATGCGTCCACATGAGAATTGGGTTTGAGGTGGTGCCCCCATCAGGGGAACCACAGGGGGGCAGCAGAGACCCTTGATTCTGGAGGGTGTAGGGTTGAGCTCCTGGTTTCCAGGGCAGAGGGTCCTAGGTCCAGAGTGGCTGTGGGGTCTTCTCTAAGAAACTCCTTTTTGTGGTTGGGTACTTTATGGCTGATGGCTTCAGAGTCAGGCCCTCCTTGACATTTTGCCAGCTCTCTAATCATCTTGATTAAACTCCTTTTTTCCCTTAAATGAACAAGAATGGATTCTGTTCTTTGCAACTAAGGATTGTGGCTATTACTCCATCTGTCTTAGTCATTTGGGGCGGCTATAACATGATACCACAGACTGGGTGGTGTAAACAACAGACATTTATTTCTCGCAGTTCTGGAGGCTGGGAAGTCCAAGATCAGGGTGCCAGCAGATCTGGTGTTGGGGAGGGCCCTCTTCCTGGCTTGCAGATGGCCACCTTCTCCTTGTATCCTCACATGGTGGAGAGGGGTATCATCTCTCTTCTCGTAAGGGCACTAATGCCATTCATGAGGTCCCCACCCTCTAACCTAATCACTGGCCAAAGGTCTGCCATCTAATGCCATCACATTGGGGAATAGGCTTCAACCTATGAATTTTGTGGGGGACACAAACATTCCATCCATAGCTCCGTCCTTCAAGAGCAGCTGAAGAAACTTCTACGACCCTGTCTGGAGCATTGGATTCTGCAGATGCGCCTGTCTTCAATGCCACCCCATCTCATATTAAATTGCCTGTTGTTTCCTGGTGTTTGCAGTAGTTGGGCTGCCTCTTCACTGGTTGGAAACATCTAGAAGCAGTGAGCCTATCTTTTCAATTGTCTCGTTTGTAGCATCTCATAGCCGGAAAGGGATTGAGAGGATATTGGCCAATCCACCCATCTTACAGGCAAGATGGGGCTCAGAGCAGTGACCAGTGGAGTGACTTGCCAAGGGCTGGAAAGAGCAGAAGCAGGAGAATTAGAGCCAGGCCTTTTCTCCTGTTGCCTCCTGGAAGGATGCTGAGCCCGCATAGGGAATTTATGGGGAAGATGCGTCATGACAGTACTTGAATTTAAACACGACCTTCAGAGGAGTTCAAAATGCTTCATGGACCTGTGAGTTCCAGATTGTATAATTTATACTCCTGGGAAGTACAAAGAGAAGAGAAAGCCTCTTCTGTTTACAGCAGGGAAAACTGAGGTCCGAAGGAACTGATTTGCCCAAGGTCAGTATCAGAGTTAGAAGTCTCCAGCTCCTTGGATTCCCAAGTCTGTTTCAGGAAAACCATAGGATGTGGGTTCCTGTAATGGAAACCCAAGAAGTGTTTGAGACTGCCGCCTGAGACCCACCCCCTGAATAATGCTGAGTCCTTAGGCGTCCCTTGGAGAGGGGAGGATGGAAAGTCCCCGTATTAGGTACCCATTGCTGCTAACGCATCTCTCCAAAGCTTGTGTTTTAAAATGACCCTGGGTATTTATTATCTCACAGTTTCTGTGGGTCAGGAATTTGGGGGCAGTCACAGGATGCCAGTGGCTGGAATCATCTTGAAGCCTCCTTTATGAATATGCCTGGTTCTCAACAGGGAAACTGGAATGGCTGGAGCACAGGCATCTCTCTCTATCTCTGTCTCTTTGCAGTTTTTCCAGCAAGATGGCTTTAGGGCAGCTCAGGGGTACAAAGGTGTGTGCTCTGCGAGAGAGTGCCAGTCCTAGCCTTAGAGTCACATAACGTCACCTCCACCGCACTTTGTACTTTAGTGAGTTAGAAGTGAGTTACGGAGCTGGCTGTATTCAAACGGAGGTGAGTGAGGCATCATATCTTTACGGGAAGGGAGTAAAGAATTTGAGGATGTGTTTTAGAACCACCGCAGACTCCAGGTTCCAGAAAGTGAAGTGATTTCCCCTAGTTACATGACTAATGGGTCAGTGAGCGGGACCTGGATAGGAACAGGACAACCACTGGCTCATTGTCTTTTTAACAACCAGCATTAAAGTACTGAGAGAGAGCCAGATAAGGGGGTCTGATTTGGATTTTCTTCAGGGTGTTACCTCATTTTTAACCTGCTTAAACAAACAGAACAGCAGACAAACATACCCTTAAGAAACATACCCTTAATGAATCACTGCTAGTAATAATTGTGATCATGCCCCTTTATATTTGTGTAACACTTGGTCTAGACCCACATTGAATGGCTTGTTTAAGATCGGATAGCAAGTCAGGTCAAAAACAGAATTAGAGCCAGAACCCCGGGGATCCTTATTCTTTTTTTTTTTTTATTTTTTTATTGTTGATTTCTTTTTGCTTTGCTGTGTTGGCAACCCCCCAGGGTAAACCGTCTACTACTTTATGAGAATATTCTCATTGCGTCTTTCCTCAATAGCAGCTGTGGTGCCCATCGCTGACTCCTGGGCAGCTGCAGACTGGATAACAACCGGGCAGCGTGGCTGTGGCTGTTGCCAGGCAGGGCAAAGTGTCGTAAGGTTAAGGGAACAGCAGAAAGTACCGGAACTAGCTCCCTGATCTCATAGATTCAGAAACCAAGGCAGGGTGGGCTGGTGGGCTATTGCTTAAGTCCTTTGATGAATCATGAAAAGGCTGGCATTCAAATCCAGGTCTCAATGTAAAATCTAGATCCCACCCCCCATTTGGATTCCTGTGTATTTCTGAAATGAAAAGCAAGCTGGTTTTGATAAAGCTAGTTATCATTGATTTGCTTGCTACAGAGACCCTGGAGGAAATATTACTTTGGGCAACTTACCACATCAATCAATCAATCAACATGTAATTATTGACTGCTTGTCTGTTGA